TGGAGCAGCTTGGGTACCACGGATTTTGCGCCGTGTGTACTCGCTGATCGGTGGCTTTGGTTGTTTGTGTGGTTAGAGATGGGAGCACCTATTTGGCGTGTTGTGCGGGTGCAATTTTTTCATTCCGTTTTTCTATTTTTATTATTTATTTGTTTTTTCAATATAATTCAGGATTAAAAATTTCCCATTTTTTCCAAATTTGATTTTTTTTCAAAATTCATATAATGTTCATGGATTAGAAAAATCCTGATTTAAAAAAAATGTTCGCATATTCAAAAAACATTCACAATTTTGAAAGAAAATTGATGGGGAAATCAAAACGTATTCATTATTTTGAATAAATATTCGTGAAATCGGAAAAATGTTCACAAATTCAAAAACTTTCTATGATCCTTTTAAATTTTTACAAATTCAAAAAATGTTTGTCAAAACAAATAAATGTTCCTAAATTTTCAAAAATTATTTCCCTATTTCCAAAAACTATCTTTGTCAATTTAGAAAATGTTCTTTGATTTGAAAAAAATTGTTCACAGGTTTCTAGAATATTTGTTGTGCAGGCTCGTCGGGTAGCAATCTTAGGGGTGCGTGGTGGAGACTCATTGGAAAAATCTATTTGTTTCCCGTGGTTAGAGGATGGCCGAGGTGGCGCCAACATAGCGATGGGCGGCGGTTGAGGGGGAGGGCAGGGCCTGCGTTGCTGTTGTGGGCGTCGGGACGGTTAGGTTGGTGGTAGTTGGCAACTCGGAGTAGAAGATGAATAGAACAAAACGTTCAAAGGTAGAAGAAGGCATCTAGCCCGTTGGTTATGCAAATGATTCGACTAACCCTAAATTCATTTTCAGTCCAGAAGACTCCATCTTAGTGTCTAAATCATTAACAATCACAAACAAAACCTCCTTCTCTTTGTCATACTCACCACTCATTTTATATACTTAAGAAGTTCATCCCCACTATCTTATTTATCTAAGCATGCAAGCTGTCCACATCAGCATCTAGCCATGTCAACAACTCTAAACATCCATACTGTCATGTCATGTCTTCAATTTCTATTTGCATGCAACAGACCGAAGCCAGCACCCTCTTGCGTTTTGTTTCCCGCGACAAAGAAATTCACCCACCTTATGCATGCTCACGTGTCATTAATTAGTGTTTAACCAGCGCACAAGTTTGTTTTGCAAGTTGTAACTACATGACGTTTCTCATCCCCAATCCCTTATCTTCTTCTCTGCCTTATAAAATTCCACCACACTATCTGCTGCTTCATCTCCCTTGATCAGCGGCTCCATTACACCCCCCCTAAACTCCCTCATGTCATTCAGCTTCCTGCAGATTGCAGCCTAATGCCTCGCCATGTCTTCCTATCCCGATCTCCCGACGAACCTAACTGGGACGTTTTGTCGTGAGGTACCAAGCACCTGCAAGTTACTGATGCTATAATTGCTGAACACGGCGGGCATGTCGCCTGCTGCCGCCCCCATTATCTTCGCTCCATGATCAACGTTTTGGTGTCATCTCCAGCGCCTTCAACCCGCCTCTCTTGCCCGTTGCATCATGGACAAGTCCCCTACTTTTATCTAGCCTTCGACTATAGTGAAGACCTCTCCCATGAGTAGGTAAATAACCCCTGGTGTGAATCCTCGATTATGTCTCCTAAATTAATCTTCGCATGTGGTTAATTTTCTTCATGCACCTCAATTTCTGCTCAGTTCATACTGATTATAGTGGTCAGTGAAATTTGTATTCTCCATTGCCTGCAGGTCCTACCCTTCATGGCATCTGTACAATGTAGCAGGCTATTCCATCTTTTTTATGAGGAAAACATACCAGGTTCTTCCTCATTGCTCCATTCCTAATCCTCCTATTATCTTCCTACTTTAGCGTGAGGTTATGCTACACTATTTGCTTATTATGTCCTCACCCTCATGACATTTGTACCACGTAGGAGGCTCTTCCATTTTTGTTTTGAGGGGAAGGTAGCAGGATATACCTGAATGCTCCATTCCTAATCCTCCAATTATCTCGCAACTTTAGCGGAAGGTTGTGCTACTTGATTTGCTTATTATTCTTTGCCATGCTTTCTGTTCAGAGATGGGTGAAAGATCGTATTATTTTCACCCCAAGGCTGCTGCATGATTACTGATTTGGTTTTTCGGATTTTTGTCAACTTATGCAATCTGATCATTTCCTAGATCAGAACAAAAAAGCATATGTGCTTAAGGTACATGGAGGGTTCGGTCACACAATTTATTTTAACCGGAAACAGTAGGATATCTTATACAAATAAAGTAATCATTAACATGTAAAAATAAGGAAAATGTTCACATCAGAGCAGATTATCGAGCCATTCTTGAGTATTAACTATTGCTTTTTTTGTATGGGGTAACGCCATATATAATCCATGTTTAACAGTTTCCTTCCAATGTTCCAAAAGCCTCCGTCTGATCCTAAAGTGTGTTCCTTATTTAAGTTTCTTTCAAGACTACCAAGGGCGGCAACCCATCTATGAAAAAAAGAAGAGAAATAGTTTAGAACCCAGTTATTAAGCCTGAAGCTCACAAAAATCATAGATTAACTAGCTGCATGGGTAATATTATTTATTATTATATATTTTGCCAATTCTAGATCATATGTACCATGCATGAAAAAATGATACTTATGTTGTATAAATATTTTACAATTACATAATAACACATATTATATATAGTTTTAGTTATCGTATTATTAATCCAAAATGTTCATGTTCAATAAAATCGTATCACATTAGTATATATTGCAACCTATTTCGCAGCAACGCGCGGGGTATTATCTAGTATTCTTAGTTAGCCAAACCCCTGAAATAGATCATTTACGACCTTCACAGCTGAAAAAAGAGACAACTGTGTCCCCTCCTGACCCCATCCTGACGCCGCCTCCCCGGGAGGCGGCCGGGGCGGTGTGCGACCTCCCTCCCTTCGGCCCCTCCTTCTCCTAAACCTCTCCCCCCACCGTCACCAGTGGGTGCCCCTGGATCTGGCCCGGGTGGTGTCGACGGCGGCATGACCTTCTGTACCTGCACGCCGCTCTCCTTCCCGGGGCAGCGGGCGCGGCGGTGAGGCTCGGCTTGGTGGCGGCCCGGCGACCTGGAGGCGGTGGTCGGCGACGGGCGAGGTGGCGGCGGGGCGGATTGGTGGCTCGCCCCCGGCCCAGATCTAGGCCCTTAGAGCCCCATCTGGGTCCTAGCGGATCGGCTCCAGCGCGGCTTCGATGCCTACTGCATGGTGAGGAGGAGGAGCTCGGACAGGGGGCGGCGATGCCGACGACGTGCCTTCTGCAGCACGACGGCGGGAGCTTTACTGGCATCTCAGGGCCCCACAGAGCCTGTGGGTCCATGGGCCTGGTATGCTCCTGCTGTTGCATCCGGTCGGTAACCGTCGTTGACAGTGGAGGTTGGGCCCTCCCGCGTGCCGACGGTGATACTGCCCCTAGTCCCATCTCCTCTTCTTCGTTGTGTGGGCCCCACTTCACGGCGCCGTGGTGAGATGGCGTGGGAAGCTTCAAGACCGTGTTGGCACAAGGTGGTGGACGGTATGGTGGCGTGCTCCGTAGCGCCCGACGTGAAGGTTGGGATCAAAAGAAATCTATGTCGGCCTGGCTGACACAGACGCAGTGGCGCCTGAGGATGCCACCAGACCTTCTTGGAGGGCGTCGGGTGCTACCCTTCCTTTCTCCTCGCCGCGTACCGTGGGAAACCCTTGGCAGCAGCGCCGTCACTGTTGCGTTCCTTCTTGGAGGTGTTGATTGGTACCGGCGCTTCGAAGTCTAGGAACTTGGTGGGAGATCTTCGGTGGACGCAGCGGTCGTGAACCTTCTTCGTTTTGTTGATCCACCATTATCAGCATTTGTTCGGTTCTTTGTTTTTGTTGATCCGCTGTTGGCATTTGTTCCTTTTGTATTTTGTCTTTCATTTCCTTTGGGTGTGACTGTGCTACTTCCACCCCAGCATCTATCATTGTTTGTATTGGGTGTTTGCTATATTAATATAGCGAGATGCAACTCTATTTAAAATAAAAAAGACAACCGCCAGACCAAGCATCAAAAATGATATGTTGGTTGTTCCTCTAGTGTTAGATTTCATTTTATCAAAATCAACGGAATAATAAAAATAAAATCAAACAACTCAGCCGCGGATTGGAATGGATGGATGCAAAAAGTAGGTCCAAATTAAACAGTTCCAAACATAATACACAAACTTAGGAAAGTCTAGTTTAAAGAGACAACCCCTCCATGCGGAGATGGACGGAGCACTACACAACAAAACACATGGCAATGTAATTAACCAAACTAAAAGTCTAGCTGATGACACATTAATCCTGGACGATCATTCTGGAGAGGGACTGGCAACCCAGAGACAGAAAACTAAAAGAGAAGTCAATACCCGAACCAACCGCCCTTGCAAAGTGTTGCCTGCCTGCTTGCTTGCTTCTGAATTTGTCATGACATGCAAATGATCATGTAATTAAGAGAAAGGGTTTGTGCTTAGTCTAGTATGAAGCAAACACGAGCATGTAAATGTGTAGATGATCTGGGATTGGTTAACTAAGAAACACAACTCAGAGCCTATGACATGTCAATGCGTGCATTTATCTGCAGCCATGATCATAGGACCTAGGTTGTGTTCCTCCATGGTTGGTCCCTTCATCTTGCTATGATGGTGTTGTGCTTGTGGTGGTGGTGGTGATTGGATTATGCATGCGAAGAAGAAAGAAAGGGGATTATGCATGGGAAGAAGAGAGAAAAGGGATTATGCATGCAATGCAAACAACACTTGGCAAGGAGAGTCTGCGGTGCGTTCTTGACTTCCCACATTGCTAAACCTCCGGACCCGCTCTTGGCCCCTCTTGATCTTCTGCACAAAACCAAGTAAAAATGGTTTCCAATCAGCAATTCCAATATTTTGTAGATCACTTTGTGAATGTGTTCTTGATCTACTACTTACCATTGCGCACGATGATGGATGGCGGTCACCGGGCGGCGGTGCCGGCGTTGTCCCCGGGGCTGACGACGAGGGCGGCCTTGATGCGGTCGACGGTGCACGCGATGAGGCTGTTGACGGTGGCGACGGATCCCAGCGAGAGCTTGGCTGTAGGCACGGAGTCGACGAGGATCTGGAAGGCGACGGTGAGGAGCGACCCGCCGGCATCCGGCGCCCCGGCCGGCCCGTCAGGAAGGATGGCGAACCCGGACGGCAGCAGCGCCACGTAGTCCGGGTCCCCGCCGTTGAGCACCACGTTCATGGCCACCACGTCCACCGGCGCGTACACCACGTACGACCCCGTCGCGTCCGTGCAGCATTCCTGCAGGATCAGCATGTTGCTCTGATTCGAGTTCGCGTTCTGCATGGAGTGGAACACCGTTCATGTCGTTGTCAGCCATGCATGGCAATGAAACAGGAAGGAAGTAGTAATGGAGTAAATGTGTAGCATATAGGTACTGACGTTGACGCGGAGGAGGGAGACGGCGTTGCCGTGATGGCTGCCGTTGGCGATGTGGGCCATCTCCTGGACGACGCCGCCGTTGGAGAGGATGTCCCATTCGCTGCGGGTGGAGTCGTCGCGCAGGAAGCCGAAGACGCGGGAGGGAGGGACGGGGAGCCAGAAGGAGGTGGCGGCGTTGAGGATGATACCCGGTGGGCGGCCGGGGTCGTCGACGCTCTTGCGGGTCATCACGCGCACGTCCTCCGCGCCGCTGCCAGAGAGCGTCGTCCATTGGTGCGTCGTCGACGCAGTCACCCCGCCGCAGAAGCTCGCCGTCATCCTCTCCGCCAGCTTCAGCATGCTCCTCCGCCCCTCCGCCGTCGTAATCACGTCGCCGCCTGAGGAGGGCACGGTGGCCATAGCGCTCGCCAGCCGCTCGCACTGCCGCTTCAGCGTCGACGTCCACCGCCGCGCGCCGAATGCCAGCCCAGAGTTCACCAGGGGTCTGTACAGATCGTGCACCATCGCGTCGTCACCGGCCTCGACGTGCTCCACCCACGTCACCTTGGAGTAGCCGTTGGGCATCTCCTGGATGAGGCAGCCGGAGGCGCGGCGGCGAAAGTGCCCGCCCACCCGCGCAGCGGAACGGAGACCGTCGTCGAGGGAGACGTCGACAACGGCCCATGCGCCGCCCGGATGCTGCTTGCAGTAGCGCAGGAACTGGGTGTCCCGCGTCGGCACCAGGGGCGACGGCATCTGAAATTCGGCAGACATGAGCTGCAGCGCGCCGTCGTGATTGCCGGCGACGCCGGTGGAGAGAACATCAAGCGTGGCCGCCCGGGACACGATGCTCGAGAAGAGCGCCGACCACTGACGCACGTCCATGAGCATCTCAACGAGGCTGACGTGGTTCATGATGACAACATCTGTCTCCCTCGACGCCTCGGACCGGAGCTCCGGCGACTTGGGGCCGAGTGCACCCCGTGGGAAAGCGCGAGCGTACTCCTCCTCGCCGAGCGCCTCGCCGTCGAGGGATGGCACCCAGAGAGGCTCCCCGAGCTGCGCCATCCGGACCAGCTCCTCCATGGCAGCCACGGCCAGCTCGATCACCATCGGCTTATCGAACTCAGCACCGCCAAACATGCCGGGCATGCCCAGGTGGTCGAGCGCAGAGCGGCCGGAAGACTGCGGTGGCAGTGGCGGGTAGGAGGCGGAGGCCACAGCCACCCCGGAGCCGGGCTTGCCGCCGACGTACTTGGCGGCGATGGCGGAGATCCTGTCGATCTCGTCGCGGAGGCGCGCGTTCTCGACGCGCAGGTGGTGCTCGTCGAAGGACATCTCCCCGATGGCCGCCGGCCCGCCGCAGTTTGGGCACGACGCGTTGGCCAGCGCTTCCTTGTACCTCATGTTCTCCGCCCTCAGCTTCTCGTTCTCCGTCCTGAGTGCCGTGTTCTCCTGCCTCTCGTGCTGCGTCTGCGCGACATGGATGCATGCACGTACGTCAATTACGAGGCACTGACGTATGGTATGGAGTACGTATCATGCATGAAGGATCGCCATGGATGGTTACGTACCTTGATCTGGGTGCGCTTGTTCTGGAACCAGAACTTGACCTGGAGGGGCTCGAGGGAGAGGCTGCGGCTGAGCTCCTTGCGCTGCTTGTCGTCGGGGTGGGGGCACTCCTTGAAGAAGGCCTCAAGCTCCTGGATCTGGTGCTGGGTATGACGGTGGTAACGCTTCTTCTTCCGGGGATGCTGGCCGGCCGGGTCCTCTTGCTCATCGTTCTCCCCGCCACCGCCACCGCCACCTTCGCCGTCGAGGTTGTTGTCGCTGCCAGTACCTGACTTGCTCATCTCCAGCTCTTCATTGTTGTTGCTGCTGTTGTTGTTGCCCCCTCCGTGGGGGCCCCGGGCATCGCTCTCGCTCGTGGCCGCCTGCTGGTGGGGGTGATGATGGTGCTGGGGAAGAAGAAGATGGTGATCAACCATCTGGTGTTGCAGCATCGCTGGGAGCTGGTGATGGTGCATCCCATCCATCAAGTTCTGCATTGCATCAATAATGCCATTTTTAGGTATTCAGTAAAGTGTAGAAAAGCAATAATTAATTCAATGATTTTAATTGTGGGAGGCAATTGGAAAAATTAACATGCTGCAGCTAGCTAGTCTACTTCATTGCATATCTTCATATTGACCTGCAAATTTGGGTACCGAATTAAAGGCTTGGGAATTGCTTCTGATTTGAAGCGTACATGAAATGAGGAAATTAAGAGAATCAAGAACGGTATAAATTGCACATGGAGCACCATTGAACACTGACTAGATAGTAACATATTTGATAGGCAAGATCTGAATTATATGGAGGAATTAGAGGCTTGGAAATTGCTACTTTTTTTTTTGAAACTTGCTATATACTGATTTGAAGTGTACATAAAATTGGGAAAACCGAGTTTTTGAAACACGAGAGTTCCGAAACGAGTTAGAGGAGAGATAATAATAAAACCCAGAAACAAAATATTAATAGTAGCAAACATGGAGTACCAGTGAGTACTGACTAGGAAACACTGTTTGGAAATTTGGTACATTTTGGAAAGCAATAAATACTGGAAAAACATACTATAGAGTGGGCTGGCTGGGATAGTAGTCTACTACTACAACCCAACCCAGCTTGAGAAATAAAGGAGCAAGTTAATGCTCCATGTATCCATCCAAGTGCAGGCACCAACCATAGGCCTGTGTACATGATGTATCTTTCGTTTCGTTTCTCAGGTTAGACATGAAAGCAACAAATTAAGCCTTGTGATATGAGTGACACGAATCCCTTTTTGGCTTTTGGTATTTAACTCCGAGGAACTTAAATGTTGCACATGTCTTCTTTTTTGAAGAGCAGATATACTCCCCCGGCCCGTCAGCACTTGATGAACACAGACATGTGATAAGCATGTATGCACTCCGAATTAATGCATGATTAAGCTATTTTGTACCCCTCAAAAATACTACTAGCAAGTGCGATGAACTGATTAAGTACAGATTTGATTGTGCATGAACAAGAACAATGCGGAGAGGCCGTCCGGCCGGGCGTTACTCTTTATTTCCTGCTTCATGCATAAGCATAACCTCGATGCGGTGCAGCGACAAGGAAAGGAAATGATAAAACTCTTCCATACAAGTATTATCTAAAATGGAAAGAATTTGATATATACTGTATATGTATATATAGAGGATTAGAGGTGCAGCAGAATTAGTGACCTGGCCGAGGGAGAGCGCGGAGGAGGAGGAGGAGGCGTAGGCGACGCCGGCGCCGTTGCTCCGGCCGATCATGTTGCGTCCAGGGATCATCATCCCTCCGGGCATACCACTTCTGATCTCCTTCAGCGACGCGGAAACCCTAGGCAGGAACCCACCGGCACCATGCAACGGCTCGTGCGACTCGCATGCAGCTTCGGATCGAAGCTAGCTAGCTACGCACTTTGTCGATCCGTCGAGCGGTTCCCGAGCTCAGATCTATGTAATACCTCCGCCGCCGCCACGCACGGAGTAAAGCAGCAGCTAGCTACGCGCTTCGTCGGTCGATTCACTACCGCGAGCGAGCAGGCCGACGAAGCTCTGGCGGAAGAGATGGATGGATCGGGGAGGAAGGGGAAGCGAGGAAGGCCGGGGAAGGGAGGGGAAGAGAGGATGGATGGAGACGGAGGGGAGGGGAGGGGAGAGGGGTGGAGGGTGCGCGTATTGAATGGGCCGAGTTATTGCGGAGAGTAGCTAGCGAGAGGAGGGTGCAATGGCATTCATTGCGGCCATGGCGTGGAGTTATTGCGCAGCATGCCTCTCACTCCTCTCTACCCCGGCCAGCCCTGTGGGTTAGAGAGAGAAACCCGACTGTAGCTGGAGAGACGGGAGCGATGCGGCGGTACAGATCGTGTGTATGCGTGCGTACGTACGTACGTACTCAGATTTGTGTGTATCCATCGATCGATACATCGATCATGTTTTACCTCCGTTAAAATGAGATGATGCTTCTCTTTCTTCTTCTTTTCAACGCCAAATCAGTTTTGTTTGTAATTAAACTTTGGATACAGGAGGCGGGAGTACGTACTTTCTACTACTAGTACTACTTTGTACGCTTAAATTCTTGGGAAGACGAGTACTGTACGCGCTGGGTGGAGCGAGGCGGTCTAGGTCCAGAATTTATTGCGTACATGAACTACACATGCATATGCATGCATGCACACACCATGCATCAACCATGAAGTTTAATGGGCCGGGGGGAAACTCGGCCGGTTAATTGGGCTGTGAAGATCCATGAAGTTACTTGGGAAGACTGATGTGTATGCACGCACTGCTCCTGCTGTGAAGATCAAGGGTAGGAAAAGGCACAAATGAAGTTCTCATTTGCTGCATAGATAATTTTCGCTTGGTTAATTCGGTTGAATGCATGACTTGTTGATCATACCTGACCACCCGTGGCAATGGGCAATGACACCAACAGGTACATTACAATATTCATTGCAATAAAACCTACCTAAATGTATTTTTTTTCTTCTTCTAGGAGCCGACATATGATGTCAGTCGATCGTCTGGTCTTCACAAAAAAATAGTTTTTTTTTCTGAACGTACAACTCACTCGAAATGTCTGGCAGTGAGCAAGTTAGTGACGTGTACTTGCTTTCGGCCAGTTCAGAACTTACCTCCATGATTTGGTGTGTCTTGTTTCCAGTATTTTGGTTGTATCTTCCGTAGTCTCTTATGTTTGCTGTATTTTCAACATTTTTTTTTTGCAAGAAATAGCTCACTGCATATGTTTCATACTCCCTGGCTTCGGAAATACTTGTCAGAGAAATGGATGTATTTAGACGTATTTTTTAGAAAAAAGGCATGCGCCCGACTTTATAAATAAAGCCAATAGGCAAGGTAGCAACAACACAAGCACACAAGAGTTCGAGAGGACACCCAACCAAACCCCAACCATGGGTCGAAAGAAGAACTAGAGTCAAAGGCACGGCACGCAGGCCGGAGAGAAGCTACCCAAAATAAGCACGCGAACAACGACCGAAAAGGCTAAGCATCCTGCTCTTGACTGCATAAGTTAGACGTCGAGGCCCGGACTTTGGAGATAAGCAAGGAGAGCGCTTCCTGGTCGTCCACCTTAGTCAATGATTTCCACTGCTGCAAGAGAGCATACGATTTAAATAAGCAATCAGCAGGTTTAGCCGAAAACACATGTTCAATAGTAAACTTGTTTCTAGTCGTCCAACGGGACCAACAAACAGTACCCAGGCCCACCCAAAAGATGCGTCTGGAGACACCAGACAAGGTACTCGCAAGAGTCCACAGATCAGAGGAAGAAACAGGGGCCAGGAGACCTGAAGCCAGTCACGAACACAACTCCAGTTGAGCTTAGCTAAGGCACAGTGAAAGAAAATATGAGCCGTGTCCTCTACATCACCACAAAGGGCGCAAAATATAGAGCCCGGCCCGTTTCTCTTGTGAATCTGGTCAGCCGAAGGCAACCGGCCCCTAAAGGCTTGCCACAAGAATATCTTAACTTTAGGCGGGATCCGAGCTTTCCAAATCTGAGAGAAACGGTTAGTAGGAGCGCCACCAATAAGCTTAGAGTAAAGCGATTTAACAGAAAAACACCCCGAGGCAGAGTACGGCCAGATCACCGAATCCGTATTCGTCGAGAGCGGGGGGAAGAAGGCAGTAAGGCGTTGCCAATCTTCAAAGTCTACATGCGACAAGGATCGGCGAAAGGCCAGGTTCCAACCCTGGGACGCCAACTTAGCAATAGAAATAAACGGGTCCGGACAATAGGAGAACAAGGTGGGGAAGGTCACCGAGAGCGGTGAATCTCCACACCACCAGTCCAGCCAAAATCTAATGGAGGAGCCATCCCCAACTATAAATTTAACATGAGCCTGGAACAGGGGCCTAACTTTAACAAAGGCCTTCCAAAACTGAGAACCACCATGAGCATTAACAAGCATCGGGCTGGAGGACGGAAAATACTTAGCCTTCAGAATGGAGAGCCAAAGAGGCTGATCCCTAGCAGTCATAATCTTCCACCACCATTTAATCATCAAACATTGGTTCATATAGAAGTATTAATGATCCCCAACCCTCCAAGGTTTTTCGGTCTGCACACTAGTTTCCATTTTACAAAGCGGTATTTACGCCGATTATCAGCGACATTCCAATAAAAGGCCCCACGATGCTTATCGAAACCAGCATGGATTCCTCCCGATAATAAGTAGAAGCCCATCAAGAACATGGGGAGGGAAGACAAACAAGCATTGATCAGGGCAACTTTACCCGCGTTGGTATTATACCTCCCACGCCAGGGTAAGACCCTGTTGGCGACCTTGGCAACCACCGGGGTGAATTCTTTTGCATGAAGAACGCCCGGAGAGATGGGAAGGCCCAGATATTTGAAAGGGAAGGAGCCAAGCTTACAATTAAGGAGGTGAGCCACACGCACAACTTCAGTGTCATCAATGCCAGTGACAATAACCTCGCTCTTCGCAAAGTTGATCTTAAGACCCGACATAACCTCGAAGCAGAGGAGAATGAATTTGAGATGGGCGAGGCAAGAGTCATTCAGCTCGACCATAATAATAGTATCATCCGCATATTGAAGGTGAGTGACACCATCAAGAATAAGATTAGAGCTAACTGGAGCAATATGTCCATGAGCAGCAGCTCTGGATAGCACACGGGACAGAGCATCCACCACAAAATTGAACAGGATGGGAGAAGCAGGGTGGTTGAGACCCTGTTACCGACCTTGGCAACCACCCGAGACCAACTGCATGATTCTGTGCACCAAGGGCGCATCAAACCATTTAGCCAAAAGCACCCTCCTCAAAAACGGCCAGCTCACAGAGTCATAGGCCTTCTCAAAATCAAGCTTTAGAATCACGGCTTTGGACTTATGGATCTTAAGGTCATGCACAATCTCATGTAAGCATAAGACCCCATCCAAAATGAATGTACCTTTGATGAAAGCAGATTGGAAGGGCTGATAGTACGGTGGGCAATGGGGGAAAGGCGCGAGGCGAGCCCCTTGGCAGGAAATTTAGTGAAGTTATTGATCAGGGCAATAGGACGAAACTGCAAGATCAAGTAAGCACCTTTGACTTTAGGAATGTGAGAGATGACAGCGTAGTTAAGACGTGAGATATCCACCATCCCCAGCCAAAACCCTTGGATGATCTTACAAACTAGCACCCGCAACTGCGGCCAGAATTTCTTAAAGAAAGGGATTGAGAAACCGTCAGGCCCCGAGCCAGCGTTCGGGTTAGCCGAACTGATCACGTTCTAGACCTCCTCATCCGAAGTGGGAATCAATAAGCCAATATTTTCTTCCTCAGATATCTTACTGCCCCCTTCCCAAAAATCAGAGGAGAAAGCAATGGTAGAATCCGGTTTGGGACCAAGAAGGTTGGAAAAGAAAGCTACAATGTGGTCTAGAATTAAAGAATGGTCAGAAGTCCTGACATCGTCAATGATAAGACTATCAATGAAACATCTCCGTCGCCTCCCATTGGCGATCGCAAAAAAATAGGATGTGATAGCGTCACCCTTTAAGGTCCAGTTAAGAGAGCCGTGCTGGCGCCAATAGATCTCCGATTGCTGATGCAAGATCATGAGGGCATCTTCCAAGGAATACTGAGTCGCCCATTGGGAAGCAGAAAGACCAGAGAGATCAGCAGCTTGGTCAAGGACCCTGAGCTGGAATTCCAGGGACGCTTTTTACCTGCATTGGTCGGCCGCCCTATTCCAGGACCAGCCCCTTAAGAATTTGTGAAGCTCATAAGAGCACTTGTGCCAATCATCCATGGGACCAAAGGAGTGATGAGGGGAGTTAAGAATATTAGAGATCTTGGTGGCCAGAATATCACAGAACCCATCCACGAGCAACCAGGAAGCATCAAATTGGAAACGGGAAGAAGAGAGAGGATAAGAAAGACCTGCATCAACAACAAGTGGAACATGACCAGAACCAACCGCAGGTCTCACTTTCAGCAAAGCACGGGGAAAGAGCGAATCCCATCTATCACAGACAAAGACCCGATCCAGCACCGACCGGACAGGGTTTGACTGATGATTGGACCAAGTGAACCTCGCCCCCATCCTAGGGAGCTCACGGATCGCACAGTTGCTAATGAACTCATTAAAGGCATTAGCCAGGGGCCAGGAGAAGTTAGAGTTATTTTTATCTGCCGGGGTGCGCAAGAGATTGAAATCCCCACCGATCAGTAGTGGAATATTACAGGACTCGACCTTATTAGAGAGCTCGTCAAGAAACAAAGACGCTAGAGAATGATCACTAGGACCATAGACCACTAGAAATTCCC